AGGAAGGAAGGAAGGCAGGCAGGCAGGCAGGCAGGCAGGCAGGCAGGCAGGCAGGCGGGCTGAAATCTCATTTTCTGAAAATTTAATGGAGAAGCATTAATTGCAGCTTTGGGCAACTATTTCTTACATACCACAAACCATTCAATACTGTATGTTATTAAAAGCCCTTCACACGTTAAAGCAAACATTTTACTAACTATTTTGGTAGAAATCCAAGAATTTTTTCTCTTACCAACACAAAGGGTTGCTTCCATTTCATTGGGCATAACCAATCTCACTCAGCATATTCTTTCTTTCTCTCCCATTCAAAACAAAAGGTGTCCCCATCATGGAGGAGAAATGCTGGACAGATCAAAGGTGGACAGCCAGCAGCCTGGGAACCCCAGGGAAACCTTTGGCCTTGAAATGATGACCCTCCCCAGAAGTTGACAGTCCTGGGGCTCTTTTTCTGCAGGTCCCTTGATCAGCCTTACAGAGTGAAGGGGCCACAAGATGAGCTCAGCATGGAGACTAGTCAACAAAAGAGAACAGTCTTGGGTATAGCCGGGTGGAGATACAGCTCTTCTTTTAATTCCCACTTGCAAGAAGTCACAATGCCTAGACAAGCTTGGCTATCCCACAAAAGATAACCACAGCCAGTTTTCTAAAGGAAGATGGGAGTTCCCCACTCGCGTTACCTGTTCATTGGGGCAGTCATGTTACATGCACTGAAGGCATGGTGATAGAGGAAAATGTTATTAAAAGAGAGGGAAAGGTTTTCTATTTTCATGAAAATAAAAAATTGTTTTGGAAGTGGGTGAGGAGTATTAAACAAGGAGATTCCAATAAGGTGAATGGAATTAAAAATGCCATTTGCATTGGAGTAATAGCCATATTACAAAGAGTGGAAGGTTGCTGAAGACGGGAGAAAGCAAGGACAGACCCACTGATGTCAGCCCTTTGAGGCAGGCCAGGTCAGGAAACACACTGTAAGGATCCCAGGAACGCCACTTTACTGTGGTAGGATAAGGGAGAGAATCTTGCCCAACTTTCCTTCTGTCCCATCTTATCTTAAACAAAATCCCCACACTGGACTAAACCTCTCCCAAACAGCTCTCGCAAACCTTCCCCAAGATTGGATCTAATTTTCACTGGCTGCCAGTCGTTTTCCAGGCACAATGCAGGGGCTGGTTGTCCCCTTGAAAGCCCTTTGGGGCTCAGAACCTGGGTACCTACAAGCTTACCCTACTCGGTAGCAACTGCCTGTCCAGCAAGGTCCAGTACAGAGGTCTTACAGTGGGCCCCAACTCCTAGGACCCACTGCAAGACCTCAAGAGCAAGCCTTCTCATCAGCAGCTCCTCTCCTCTAGAAGAGAGGCAAGGAAGTTCCCATCCTAGTTTGGGTTCCAGAAGGTGATCAAGATCTGTGTCTTCTGGAAGCACTTTGGGGTTATTCCTGCTTCTCCTTTGTATGGAATTTTAATCCAACCGCTCTTATTGTGTTTCTAACATATTTAAACATGGATGCAGCTCCTGAGAAGACAGTGTTCCAAGGAACCACGTATCAGCCGGAAACGCACTTCTCTAACAGATCTAAAGAGATGGCCTAAAGAGAGATTACCAAGATGGCCTAAAGAGAGATTACCTCTCGGGCCACCAGAAGCACCTCCTTCAGGGCTTTAAAGGCCATCATTAGTACCATGGACGATGTCAGAAAACCAACCACTTGAAGGAGGCAAAGTCCCGCTCTTGGCAAAGTTTGGCTTAGTTCTGATGAAAGGAATACATGGACATCCACCCGTGCAGGACTGTTTTTTTCTGCAGTGGCACTTCAAATTACTTGATCTGCTTCACGTCCTCTATCGGAGCGTCCTTCACTGACGAGCCATTGAAGGGTTTTCTTTAACTGCCTGGAACAGATTCCAGGCTGCAAAACATGGTTAGTTACGACGCCCTTCATCAGCTTGGATGTTAAGGGTTGGCTGCCACCTGGCGGAAAGTGCTGGGAACACTTTCTGGTGTCTTAAAAAAAAAGTTTAGCAAATTCACCATCCAACCATGTTCTTCAGCTGCTTGTATTAAATAGGATGGACAGTTAATTTGGATGAATTTGCCAGCTTCTGATTTTAAAAACAGTGAAATATCAGACAAGATGGGGGGGGGCAGGTATGAGGCTTGATACCTGGATTTACTTCTTTGGAGGCAAATAAATCTTTCACAGAAATCTATCTTTTCCCAAGTGAAAAGCTGACGGAAGCATTTGTGAAAAAATATTGTACTGTTCCTTTCATTGCTGACTTCTCTGACCACTGCCTGCTTCCTCGCTTCTTAGGAGCCCTATTTTTTTACTGCCCCTTTTTACTCAGCTATTTTTTATTGTTGCAGCACTTTTTTTTTGCTTGAGTTTCCAGTATCTACTTCTCCTTTTCTGACTTGTCTTTCCCTAATCTCTTCCTTAATTTTATTTTCTTGCATCCTACCTATTCTGCATTTTTCTTTCCAATTCCTCACTTTGTTCTTTAGCATCTTCCTCTTTTGCAGTTGTCTTTATCAACACCCACATACAGGCAAAGCAGGCAACAGGCAAATTCCCCTTGGCTCACGAAAGCTGACTGGCAAGCCGTTTAGTCTCCTGCACCTTCCCTCTTTTCATCAGGCCAGTCAGCCTTATCAGCGCCAGAAGGTTCACACAAGCGAGGCAGGCAAAAGACGACAGAAAGAACGGTTGTGGGCCTGTACTTTTCGAAAGACAGATAGAAATCCCATTAAAATGACAGTTGTGCCAACCATTAATGATTCAAGCTTATCTGCAGACAAAACTTGAAGCTGTACAATGACAGGTTTTATTTATCACAAAGCAACACACCACAGTTCTTGAAGTGTTTAACAATAAAAGAAATATTAGCAATTTAAGTTCCAAGAACTATGTCATGAAAATACATCACACTGAACAAAACAAGTCTGTTTCCTTTCAGGCATTATTTAACCTGAAAGACAAACTCAGAAGTTTTGCTCTTATTAATCGCATACAATCCAGTGAGATTAATTTAATGTCAAGACTGACCATTCCTTATTTAGCTTTTTAAACAGAAACCAAAAAGGAACAAAGTAAAAAAAAATGTTCAGGCAGTCCTTAAAGGAATCCTATTTTTTCATAAGCACACTGAAAGGTTAATAAGATTTTCGGGCATTTTCATAGCGTACATTTTTTTCTACACCTGATTCATGTGCAAACTTTCCATCTGCACTAGATGCACACTGAAACTGAGGAATCTGGCCAATCTGATCCATAAAAAGACGTATCTTGATCTTTTGAAGGGGGATACCTTTGGCAGCGGACCCATTCTATTGTTTCCATAGCGGGCAACAGCTGACAGACACAAGGGTCAGCCTTGGGAAATGGACCGTTAAAAGCTAACCCGCCGCCGTGAATCCCTCCGCTCCAGGGGCTCTTTCCTAACGCTCGGCCCACGGGCTGCGTCTGACCCCGCAGCCCGCGTTTCGTCAGGTACGAAGCGCGTCTTTCAAGTGCGACC